CCACCATGCACTCGCATGACCCTACCCCCTGGGGACGGAACCGAACGTTCAGCTGGACCCAGTAATTACCGTGATTACCCTCCAAGGTGCCACTGAGCAGCAGCCTGCCCTCCCCAGGGTGGTCAGGGGGCAGGCCCAGTGCCCTTTCAGGAGACGAGGAGGCAGGTCCAGCCACAGGGAGAGGCTCCCGTGTTCCTGGTCTGTGTGACCCTTTCCCGGAGCCTGGAAGGACGTGGCCCTGCCACGTCTTGGAGAGACAGGGTGTTGCCTGGACCCAGGACACCCTGGCTTCCGCAGTGGCCCCTCAGCCTGGCCCACTGTCAGAAGGAGACAGCCGGGCACCGGGTGCCCAAGAGGCAGTGTTGGTCCACGGCCCAGCTGAGGTTCGCTGGGAAATGGGCAGAAGCTGGCAGGCCAAGCAGGCTCTGAGCAGCCAGCCCGAGGCAGATAAGAAGTCATTTAGCCCGTGTGTATAGACACAGGTCCGTGTGAGTGATGGTCAGGCAGGCACGCACGTCAGCAGGAGGCCCACGGGTTCTCTGGACAAAGGTGTACCGGCAGTTCTGGAAGAAAGGATGACCTTCTCGACAGCCTGTGCTGGAGCTGCTGACACCAGCCTGCACGTGGGGCAGCTCCGCATCCGCCATGCCTCAGCCTCCCTTTCTGAATTATCTCTGCCTTGATCACAGCCTAATCTGCTGGAAGCAGACAGACAAAGAAGTCAGTAAGTGAACCTGTAATCAGATGAGGCCGCTACCCAACCCACACTCGGCTGCTCAAAAGGCCGATACTCGAGCGCCAAGAGCTGGCGAAGGAAAAGCTGCTTCACTCAGGAGGCTGGCAGCCCGGGAAGGGACGGCAGGCCGGGGCCCCAGACCGTCCCGAGCTGCTGGTTAGGAGACCAGCTTCAAAGGCCGCAGGGGGAGGGGGCCTCAAAGGTGTGAGCAGCCTGTGCTCGCTCCGGGCGGCTGTGAGCATCACCAGCCTGCTGGTTTCAGGGGGTCTGGGGTCTGGGGTCTCCGTGCCGTGGTCAGCAGTTTTCACCTGGTGGGGTGCGCTTTCTGTAAAAACACCTTTAAAGCGTGTGTCGGGCCTAAACTGTCAGCAGGTTCCCGTCCCAACGGTTGTTCTTGGTTTCTCCTCCACATTTCCTAATCACTATGTCTTGAGCCAACCCTTTGAGAACCAGGGGAGGCCCAGGAGGCAAAAGCTAGGGACACTGGAGCTGGTTTGGGGTCTCAATCCCCCCTTTCTTTTATACTCGACCATCTTGAGGGGAACAGGTTCAGGAAAAGACAGGGAAGAAAGTTTTGGATAGAGCTTAGTTCTAAACTTGGCAGAGGGACTCAGTTTTAAGGGGACTCAGTTTCAAGCTGAGCGTTCAAACCACAGAGCAAACCTAAGACAGAGAGGAGGGATTTAACACCAAGAAGCCAAAACCCTGCAAAGGAACCGTGAGGAAGCCTCGTCTAAAGCCAAGCTGGGCGTCCCTGGTGCCCAGCGGGTGAGAGCACGCCGGCCAGCGCCCAGGCACCCACTGCACCCCTGACCCGGGAAGAGCCCACACGCCCAGGGGCCACGCAGCCCCCCGTGCTCCACGATGAGAAGCCCACCCACCACTAGAGGCCAGCCCTCACTCTGCGACCAGGGCCCACCCTCACGCAGCAACGAAGACCCAGCGCAGCCAAGAAATAAGTGAACAAGTAAACAGACGTTAAAAATAAGCAAAGAGAGCCAACGCTGGTTCTCCTAGGAGGACTGATAGACGAGATCAAGGAAGCGGCAAACACAAGAGGTACTTGTGAACAGAGGCAAAGCAGAAGGTAAACCTTCAGAACCGCAGAGCAGAGAATCCAGAAGAACCGAGGTCTGGGGTCCCCGCGGGCGCCCTCCTGCCCCCGCCCCGCAATGCAGCTTTTAGGCAGGTGGCTGCTGGGACCGCTGGCAGGTAAGACCTGGAGCCCAGAGCGACACAGGGCCAGGCAGGAGGTCCGTCGCACCTTCTTGGATGGAGCACGACCCCCAGAGACCCCCAGACCCTGTGCAGAAGGGGTGCCACCCCCACAAGCCCCCTGTGCGCCGCCTGGAGCAGGCAGAGCTTTCTTTAATTTCATCTGCATTGGCAATAAGGAGTTCATGATCTGAGCCACGATCAGCTCCCGGTCTTGTCTTTGCTGACTGTATAGAGTTTCTTTATCTTTGGCTGCAACAAATATAATCAATCTGATTTCGGTATTGACCATCTGGTGATGTCCATGTGTAGAGTCTTCTCTTGTGTTGTTGGAAGAGGGCGTTTGCTATGACCAGTGCGTTCTCTTGGCAAAACTCCATTAGCCTTTGCCCTGCTTCATTTTGTACTCCAAGGCTAGATTTGCCTGTTACTCCAGGTGTTTCTTGACTTCCTGCTTTTGCATTCCAGTTCCCTTTGATGAACTGTCTCCCTGGTGGCTCAGACGGTAAAGCATCTGCCTGCAATATGGGAGGCCAGGGTCCGATCCCTGGGTTGGGAAGATCCCCTGGGCAAGGAAATGGCAACCCACTCCAGTACTGTTTCCTGGAGAATCCCATGGACAGAGGAGCCCGGTAGGGGTGAGCAACTTCACTTTCCTTTTCCTTTCCCCTAGGATGAAAAGGACATCTTTTTTCGGTGTTAGTTCTAGAAGGTCTTGTAGGTCTTCGTATAACCATTCAACTTCAGCTTCTTCAGCATTAGTGGCTGGGGCATAGACTTGGATTACTGTGATATTGATGGTTTACCTTAGAAATAAATACAGATCATTCTGTTGTTTTTACATCTACCTAAGGAGAGCAGGTCAGGAAGCAACAGTTAGAACTGGGCCTGGACCAACACACTGGTTCCAAATAGGAAAAAGGGTATGTCAAGGCCGTATATTGTCACCCTGCTTATTTAACTTATATGCAGAGTACATCATGAGAAATGCTGGGCTGGATGAAGCACAAGCTGGAATCAAGATTGCCAGGAGAAATATCAATAACTTTAGATATGCAGGTGACACCACCCTTATGGCAGAAAGTGAAGAGGAACTAAAGAGCCTCTTGATGAAAGTGAAACAGGAGAGTGAAAAAGTTGGCTTAAAGCTCAACATTCAGAAAACTAAGATCATGGCATCCAGTCCCATCACTTCATGGGAAATAGATGGGGAAACAGTGGAAGCAGTGGCTGACTTTATTTTTCTGGGCTCCAAAATCACTGCAGATGGTGATTGCAGCCATGAAATTAAAAGACACTCCTTGAAAGAAAAGTTATGACCAACCTATACAGCATATTAAAAAGCAGAGACATTACTTTGCCAACAAAGGTCTGTTTGGTCAAGGCTATGGTTTTTCCAGGAGTCATGTATGGATGTGAGTGTTGGACTATAAAGAAAGCTGAGTGCCGAAAAACTGATGCTTTTGAACTGTGGTGTTGGAGAAGACTCTTGAGCGTCCCTTGGACTGCAAGGAGATCCAACCAGTCCATCTTGAAGGAGATAAGTCCTGAGTGTTCATTGGAAGGACTGATGCTGAAGCTGAAACTCCAGTACTTTGGCCACCTCATGCAAAGAGTTGACTCACTGGAAAAGACCCTGATGCTGGGAGGGATCGGGGGCAGGAGGAGAAGGGGACAGCAGAGGATGAGGTGGCTGGATGGCATCACCGACTAGATGGGCATGAGTCTGAGTGAACTCTGGGAGTTGGTGATGGACAGGGAGGCCTGGCATGCTGCGGTTCATGGGGTCGCAGAGTCGGACATGACTGAGCGACTGAAATGAACTGAACTGAGCCACTTCCAGCCTGGCCAAGCAGCTCCCAGGGCTCCACGCCTCCCCCAACGAGCAATTATTAACTCTGGACAAAACGTGAAAACACCCATTTAAGGTGTTGGTGAGCCATCAGGGGCAGACCAGCGGACCCGTGCTGCAGGTGAGCCAGCCCCAGAAGAAGGTAACGAGGGGCCTTGGACCCGATACCTGGGCCCCCTGCTGCTCACATGAGGCCAGCCCTGTGTGCGCCACCGGGAGCGGGCAGAGCTCTGATAGGAACCCTGTGCCCTCGCGGCTTGAAGAACCTGCCGCGGAGCTCCTGGGCTCCACCCTGGGGTGATGCCATTGAGGCACTGCGGACAAGAGGTGCCGGCAGACCCCCAGGGACGGGGCTGCAGGGCAGCCCCCTCTGGGCCCCCCCAAGATGAACGGTCAGGGAGCCCGCCACAGGCTGCCCTTCGGAGCAGAGCGGCCCCCCTGAGCCCCGAGTGCGGCCAAGCCAAGTGACCGCACCCGAGGCGCCTGTGCACCCACTGCAGGTGACCTCAGAGCTGGGCACCCGGCCGCGTGGAGACCCTCAGATGCTGAGTAAGACCCCAGCTCCCTTCTGAGACCGGGGAGCCAGGCCCAGGTGTGGTGGGTCGGCTCGGTGCCATCCTGCCCACTGGGAGCCGCGGCCAGGCGCGGGCAGTTCCCCTTCCCGAGCGGCCGGCCATGCCCACACTTCACACCTGCCCATCAGGCTCTCCTGCTCAGGGCCCCCACGCAGCAGCCCGACTGCCCAGGGCCAGGCCCCAGACACCTGGGGCAGCCCCTGTTCCCAGAGCTCCTGAAGTTATTCCAAGAGCCCATCCACAGGGAGCCCAGGAAAGCCCGCTCACCCCAGCTGAGTGGCCCCACGACTCCAGCTCCTGGCCACCCCATCCCCAGCACAGCCCTGACCCGGCCCTGCCCGGCAGGCCTCTGTGCTCAGGGCCGTCCAGAACCCTGCCTCTCATCTCCGAGGCTCACTGCCTCGTGGACACCATCAGAGATTCTTTAAATCTTATAGAAAACACCAAAAATCCTCCAAAAAGTGTCTGAACAAGGTGATGATGTGGCCGTAACTCACCTTCCCAGACCTGCCCAGGCACGGACCTGGGGTCCTCCCCCTCCAGGCCAGGGGGGTCCCACCTCGGCCCCCCCTCACGCCTCAGCCCCCTCCGAGGGACCCCATAGACAAGCAGCACCACCGGGGATGCTGAAACTCTTTATTTGAAGCCAGGAGAGGGGTGGGGAGCTGGGGGGGAGGGGGTGCAGCAGCCCGTGCCCCAGGGACAGGGCTCCTTCCACGTCCTGCAGGGTGGACGCTCCTGAAGGTGCTGCCCGGGGGCTGCCGTGGCACCTCGGTGCCCCCTGCCCTGCAGAGGAGGGGGCGGGTCATGATGCCAGGAAGGGGGAGGGGCAGCGTGCTCTGAGTGACGCGGCGGGGGGTATGGGGCCCTCAGGGAGCCCTGAGCAAGTAAAGGGGGGCCTTCCACGAGGTTGTCTTCAGGCCTCCAAGCCCACGTGTGAAGGTGTGACGACATGACTTCAGGCCAGTGAGGGCAACATGACAACGTTCTGGACTCTGACTCTGCTCACACCTGGGCAGGGAACCTCGAGCACGCTGCTGAAACGCCACCCTCCCAAGGCACCTGTTGCCGGTGAGAGACCCGGGGGTCGGAGCTTTCTGTGTGGGGCACCCCAGCTCCGACCCTTCTAAGCAGCTCATTGGGAATCAGAGTCACGGTGATGCGTGGGGGTGAGGATGGACTTCACACCTGCTGGCAAGCACACGGGGGCGGGAGGGCGGTGCCAGGAAGCAGACAGCCTCCCCCCCTGCAAAGGGGTTTCCTCACTGCCTAGAACTGACGCTCTGAGCCCGTCTGAAGGCGCTGCCCAGGGGCCAGGTGAGCCCAGGAGCAGACGCTCCACCTGCCTGGCCCAGGTGGGAGCAGGCCTGGGGGATTGACCAGGTGATCTCTCAAAGCCCCAGGGCCCCCAAGACCCCAGGTGTGCGCTACAGCTGTCCACTTACCCTAGTTTCCTCAGGGAGAGCAAGTTTCTGTAGAAAAAGGAAGCACATTTCAGAAGACCCCAGGGAACCCCTTAGCGCAGGGCCCCTCCATCAGCCAGCACTTCACGTGACCCCAGCGAGGACGAAGCCCCCGTCAATGCGGCCTGGCCTCATCAGCTGTGGCTCTGCTGACCGCCCCGCCGCGGGCACAGCCAGCAGCAGGCCCGTGGGCTTTTCACCACTCTGCAGGGGCCTGAAGATCTTCAGGTTCAAACTTTGGGCTTTTGCGAACTCCGTGAATTCCACCAAGGCCTCCGGACTGTTCTCCAGGTTTCTTCCTGTCGGTGAAAGCAGATGGGAGGGTGAAGGGCAGAACCAAGAATGGCCACGTCCCAGCCTGGGGAGTGAGGGGCCGCCTCGGGCCGGAGAGGAGGCAACACAGCCACCAGGGGCTGGACCCACGGGCCCAGGGCCGGGCGGAGAGCCAGGCTGGATAAGCAGACCCGCCCGGGAGTCGGGGGCACGGGGCACCCACACGCCAGCCTGGGCGGGGCAGGAAGTGCCCTCAGCAAACGCCCCGAGGATGGAAGGTCTGCCTGGGAGGGAGTCCACGCCGGCCCCTGGGCTGACGCTCACTCTGCTCCTGGCCACAGGGACCCTCCGTGACCCTCGGGCCCCCTGTCCGCAGGCAGGAAGGTCCTAACACTCCGATGCCTGCTGAGCTTCATCCCCGTAATGAAGCCCCAGGAGCTGGAATCTCCTTCCCACTCGGGGTCCATGCAGACACCGCTCTCCCCCTGAAGGCAGCCCCCCGAGGAGCAGAGCCGAGGGTGATGCTTCAGGGAGCTGCCTGGTGAGCGGCGAGGCCCGCCCGGACACTGCCGGCGTCCTGCGCCCACCGCGTCCCCCGCGGAGGCCGAGCCGTGACGCGGCACCTGCTGCTTCCTCGGGGGCTTCTCCTGAGCAGGAGGCACGGGGGAGGGGGCAGGAGCGGCTTTGCGGGGGCCAGGATGCGGGACCCTCACCCAGAAGCCTCGCCATGCGGATCTGCCGCCCAGCCAGCTCGCCCTCACAGTACAGGATGAAGTGGTCTCGCACCCGCAACGGTAAGATGAACACCTCACGCTTGCCTCCGTCTGCAGAGGGCGGCACGCTGTCCTGAACAACCTGGCCCCTGACCCCCAGGCCCTGGGCCCCCAGCTCCCGGGAGAGCCCCTGCCCGGGAGGTGGTCACCCAGTGGGTGGGTCCCAGGGGGTTTCGGGGGGGTCCAAAGAGGCTAGAGCAGGGGGAGCTCCAGTTCTGCTCCCGCCGGAGCGGGGACCGGCTAGCCCCTCCGGACGAGTCCGTCACACCTGGACGTGGCATCAGGCATTCACACCTCTCAGGCAGACTGACTGGTGGGAGGGGTCACCGGGCACTTAAGGGGGTCAGAAAGGAGTGGGGCTTCTCTGGTTGAAGGGTGACCCCCAGAAACGTGCCGGGATCCACCTCCCACCCCCCACCTGGGGCTCCAGGACTCACAGGCCGTGTACCTGCCGGGATCGTCGGTTTTCTCCAGGAACAGGCTCGTCTCCTGGCACCGACCATCAGCCCTGGGACACAGAGGCCATGCTCAGCTGATGCCTGGGTGCGGCCACCCTGGAAACCCGGCCCAGCCCAGGCACCGCGTGCCCCGCCCCACGGCAGCCGCCGGCAGGCCCGGGTCCGAGGCAGCCCTGGGAGCATGGTGCTTCTCCCACCAAGTCCAGGCTCCAGCGGGGCCTTCAGCATCTCACGTGGCAGCTCCTCGGGTCTCCCAGCCCTGCCCCGCAACTCACAAGGTCCCATCTGGGACCCGTCCCTGCATGGGGTCCCCAGTGAGGCAGTGACCCCTCAGAGCTGTCCAGGGCTGAGCGTCATTCACGGGGTTGGGACGGACCCCATTGTGGCCTGCCCACCCCCCAGACACCACTCTCCTGCTGTGGGAAGGGATCAGCGGGGAGGGGGGATGCGACTCTCACTGCGAGGTGACCTTGGCCTCCAGGTCACCCCCCTCCAGGATGCTGAAGGTCATGGCCAGCACCGACTCCTGATCCTTCCCGGGAACGTCCTGGTCTGTGGTCACGGCCTTCAGATACCACTTTCCTGACACCTGGAGAGAGCTGCCTGCCGTCAGGGCTCAGGCTGAGCACCCCCAGCCCCACTCAGCGGCCCGGGCTGCAACGCAGGGCATCTCCCACCTCCCACCCTCAGCAGGTGCCCAGCTCCCTCGCCGGACCCACCCCAGGTGGGCGCCAGCCCCACAGGGCCCTGGGGACCATGGGCACCCTGGGCCCATTTGCCTCAGACCCCCTTCGCTCAGTTTGACCACAGCCTCGGGGGCAAGGGTTGGTGTCTCTCCCGGGGACCCCTCCAGCTGTCCCAGCTCCAGCCAAGCCTCACGTCCTCAGTTGAGCTGTCCAAGACTGGGGCGACCTGGGCCTGCAGGGAGGCAACGAGGCCAAGGGTCAGGAGCAGGGCCCTCATCTCCTGGGGTCTGCACGCACAGCCGCTAACAGGTCACTCGCTGGGCGCAAAGAGGCTGTGCCGGCCACTCAGGCAGTGGCCCTTTATGTCCCACGGCCCAGGGGCCCCACGGAACTTGGCAGAGACCATCACCCAATCCCTTCCTGACCATAAACCGTGGCCAACTCTGCAGTGAGCAGATAAAGGTCGCTATTGTTGATGTTGCTGAACAACCCTCGTTCACCCTTGAGAGTCATCACAGCGCTGCCCAGGCTGAAGGCTGGGCTTTGCAGGCCCATCCCCAGAGGGGGCCGAGTGAGGGAGCTTTGCAGTGCTAGAGCCAGGGCGACACGCTAGCTGCCAGGGAGGACGTGGCTCGGATCAGAGTGTCCCTGAGAGGCTTCTGAACCTCAGATTCAGCACCAGCCCACTGCGTGAATACAGCCATGCATCTAAGGGGACGTGTGCACTCCTGACAAGACGTGTACACAGTGTGAATACAACCATGAATCTAAGGGGGTGTGTGCACTCCTGACAAGACGCGTACACTGCGTGAATACAGCCATGCATCTAAGGGGGTCTGTGCACTCTTGACAAGATGTGTACACAGTGTGAATACAACCATGCATCTAAGGGGGTGTGTGCACTCCTGACAAGATGTGTACACAGTGAGAATACAGCCATGCATCTAAGGGGGTGTGTGCACTCCTGACAAGACGTGTACACTGTGTGAATACAGTCATGCATCTAAGGGGGTGTGTGCACTCCTGAAAAGACGCATACACTGCGTGAATACAACCATGCATCTAAGGGGGTGTGTGCACTCCTGACAAGACGCGTACACTGTGTGAATACAATCATGCATCTAAGGGGGTGTGTGCACTCCTGACAAGACGTGCCGTAAAAAAAAGAAAAAGACGTGCTGTAAGTGGGCACTTTGACGTCCCCTCTCTGCTCCACACACAGAGCAGCAATGGGTCAGATGTGAGGAGGAAGGACCAAGACAGACACACACATAGACACATGTACATGTACATACAGGTATGCACTCACACACTCACTCAGACACCCACAGAAACACACGAGTCACTCAGATAAAGACCTCACTCAGAAACTCACTGAGACACACACAGACACACACAGTCACTCAGACATGCACAACACAGGCACACACACTCATCCACACACGTGTAGACACATGCACACGTACACACACTTCTGAGACACACAGAGCCATACGCAGACAGTCAGTCAGGCACGCACTCACACAGCACAGGCACACATACTCATCCACACACGTGTAGACAGAGACACAGTCACGACACACTCAATCAGATGCGCACATCCACACACACACACTCTCAGACATACATACACACTCAGACACCCTCACACAGATACACACGCTCAGGCATACACGCACTCAGACCAAGATAAAAGTGACAGCATTAGTCGCTCAGTTGTGGCCAACTCTGCATCACCGTGGGCTACAGCCCATCGGGCTCCTCTGTCCATGGGATTCTCTAGGCAAGAATACTGGTGTGGGTTGCTAAGCCTTCCTCCACGGGATCTTCCCGACCCAGGGATCAAACCCAGGTCTCCCACATTGCAGGCGGATTCTTTACCATCTGAGCCAGCAGGGAAGCCCCGGACATAGATACACATGCTCAGTGGACAGTGTGACTGTAACCACGAAATTAAAAGATGCGTGCTCCTTGGAAGAATAGCTATGTCAAACCTAGATAGTGTTTTTAAAAGCAGAGACCTCACTTTGCCGACAAAGGTACATACAATCAAAGCTATGGTTTTTCCAGTAGTCACGTATGGATGTGAGAGCTGGACCATAACGAAGGCTGAGCGCTGAAGGATTGACACTCAAACTGTGGTGCTAGAGAAGAGCCTTGAGAGCTCCTTGGACCTCAAGGAGATCAAACCAGTCTTAAAGGAAGTCAACCCTAAATATTCTCTGGAAGGACAGATGCTGAATCTGAAGCTCCAATACTTTGGCCACTTGGTGTGAAGAGTCTACCCATTGGAAAAGACCCTGATGATGGGAAAGATTGAGGGAAGGAGAAGGGGATGACAGAGGATGAGATGGTTGGATGGCATCACTGACTCAACGGACATGAGTTTGAGCAGACTCCAGGAGATAAGGAAGGCAGGGAAGCCTGGTGTGCTGCCGTCCTTGAGGTCGCAGAAAGTCAGACACCATTTTGCAACTGAACAAGTAGAGAACAGGTGGCAGCAGTATTTGTCAAGAGGACATTGAATAAATGAGGCTTGGTATCTGTATGGAGAAGATACACAAGTGTCGCTCCATACCTCACCACATACAGTCAAGTCCTGGTAGATTAGCAGGCGTGAAGATGAAATGTGACTTGTAGAAACCTATGAAAGAAAGGAATGGCAACGCCTCCGTGCCATAGAGGAAGGTCCCACAGGTGTGAAAGACACAGACAGAGGAAGGGCAGCCTCCAGAAGGACTAGTCACCACCAGCTCACCGCAAACCATCCACCCACAGAGCCCACAGAGAACCCCACAAACAAGCTGGAAAAAGATGACCAGCCGGACAGACGCGAGCAAAGAGCGTAGACGGGACGACGGCAAGGGTGTGAACAGACCGAAACGGAAAGGCAGCAGGGGCCTGGGCGCCCCCCTGGGCCGCAGGGGTTGCCAGGGTGGATGCCCTGGTCCTCACCCAAGGCGGCCGGGTGACGACGCGCCATGTGCCGGCGCTGCCTCCCGTGGGGCCCCCCTCGCCCCAGCAGGGCTCTGTGAGTCAGCAGAAGCCGTCCCGCCACGTGCTGGGGGGCATGGACAGTGTGAGGCTCCTGGGGCACGTCAAGGTCACCGGCGCTTCACTGTGGGGCTGAGCTCAGCCGCCGGCTGCACCCGCCGCCGGCTCCAGTGACGCCGGCCAAGGGCCCAGAGTGTGCAGGTGAGCGGCGGGGAGCGGAGGACAGGGGAGCTCTGTTCTGCGTGAGCCCGGAACTGAGTCTGGGGTCAAGGGGTCCACATCCCTAACGCAAAGAGTCCTCGTCGAAGTCCAGTCTAAACGCCACCCTTCACTGTCCAATATTTCTTCACAGTGGGACCTGTGTAAACTCACCATGCAGTTCTGTGCTGTTTTGTTTTTTTTAATTAGAGACGTTTTTCAAATTGAAATATAGTTGACTTGCAATGCCATATTAGTTTCAGGCATATAGCAAGCGGATTGCTGCATATGTATATTCTTTGTAGATTCTTCTCCATTATAGGCTATTGCAACATATGACTATAGTTCCCTGGGCTACACAGTAAGACCTGCTCTTTATTTTACATACAGTAGTGCGTATCTTTGAATCCCAAACCCCTGGTTTATCCCTACCCCACTCTCCGCTTTGGAAGCTGCAAGTTTCTTTTCTCTATCTCTGAGTCCGTTTGTGTCTTGTGGATAAGTTCATTTGTATCATTTATTTTAGATTTTGCATATGTGACGCCACACGGCATTGTATTTCTCTGTCTGACTGGCTTCACTTGGCGTGACCGTCTCTCGGTCCGTCCCTGTTTCTGCAGGGGCATCATTCCCTTCTCCGTGTGGCCGTGGAATGCTGTGTGTGCACGCAGCTCTTCTTCGTCCATTAGTCTGCCGACGGACACAGGTTGCTTCCTCATCTTGGCTGTTGTAAATACTGCCGCAGTGAACAGCGGGGTCCATGTATCATTTTGAACTACAGTTTTCTCCAGATACATGCCGGCTTTATGCCGTTTTGATGGTGACCATGTCATCGATCGGAAGTCGTGTCTTACAGCAGAACCACAATAAGCGATGAGTCTGTTTCACAGGAACTGACCGTCGGAGCAGTGGCTAAAATGGGCAAAAGAAGTTTCACAAGAGTAACTCATCACATGTTATGGCTTTTCCTGAAGTTGGTACTTTCCAGGTTTTTTAATGTGTAAGTTCTGTGGGTGACTTCTCCCTCCCGATGATTGTTTATTCTGCTGTCCAACCGGACTCATAATTATTATTTCTGCTCCCCACCCACCGTGCCCATCTGTCCCTGCTGCCGATCTCCCGCGGGCTCCAGGCTTGGTGCCACGCCCGCCGGCCTGAGCTTGGGTCTGTCCTTGCCCCCCTGCCGGCCCGCAAGGCAGGTTCAGGCGGCCGCCGCCCCATCCCGGGGTCCCTGGCTCCCCCAGGGCTGGACTCCCATGGGCCTGGTGCCCACAGCCCGCCCCGGCTGAGCGGGTCGGTGGCGGCTGGGCCATTCTGCACCCTTGGCCGTGGGCAGCCTCCAGGAAAGGTCATGCATGTTTGTGTTCCGGCTGCTTCTCCCCCTCAGGCTCCAGCGAGGCCCCCAGCCTGTCTGAACAGCGGACGACTTTGTCCAGCGATGAGCCGCATGTCACAGTGAACAGACAGAAATGCCTGGAGGCCACTTGGACCCACGTCCTCCCGTCTCCTCTGCCAGGTCCAAGCCAGCGGACGTGGTTCCTGGGAGGTTTGCAAGCCTCCCCTCCGCTCCGCAAGCCCAGGGGGGCCTCCTCGGCTCCTCACACCCACGTCCCAGAGCAGATCTGGGAAATGGGGCTTCTGGAGGCGGGGCTCTCTGGGTCATCAGCGCCCAGGGGTCACATTGGGCTCCCTGGTGCAGTCAGCGTGGGGGTCTCAGCTCTGCGAGGAGCTGTCCCTTTGTCCCCACCACGCGGCCTCCACCTGGGTGCCCAGTCACCCACCCTCACCCCCACGCTGCCCACAGCACGGCCCTCGTCCCCGGCTCACCGGGGACTCACCCAGACGCCCAGCAACTCTCTCTCACTTCTTTCCTTCTTTGGTTTGGCAAGCCCTTGGTTGGAACTGCCCACGGGATGCCCCCTCCACATACCAAGCACCAGCAGAAAACCTGCCCTCTGGACAAAGGGACTTTTTTAGCTCCAACTTTTGAGTTTTCAGCATTTTCTGATTTTTGTGTCATCAGAATAAAAAAAAAAGGCTATTCACATTAAATAGAAGGCAAATTGTTTGCGTTGCAATTGTGTATCTTTCAAGGAAAAAGTGGAAATTGCCTAAAATCTCTCCCCC